CATTCATTATTTTTTAAAACAAAGAAAGAAGTCTCAAGTTTTTAGGAACATAGTAATCGAGCTGGTTTCCTCGTGTTAAATTCGATCTATGCGCAATTGAATTAGTGAGAACGAAAACACACCAACTCGAAAAAATGAAAATAAATGAAGACAGTCACGAAACTGCACAGTAGGTGAAGAAGTTAGTCCAAGAAAAAGGCTTTTGGTGCCGAAAGACAAGTTTTAAGGACACGTTAAAGTTCCAAGTTGGAACAAATGCACTAACTTCATACCCTTTATAAAAATTGACTGACTTCAATGAAAATTGAGTATCTTCGAATTATCCAGTTGGTGTGTTTTCGAACTCACTGATTCAATTACATTACATTTCGGGCAGGCAATTTGCAAAAACTGTGGATAATGGTCTGATGTTGCCATTAAAAATGCTCCTGAATTTTCCCTATCCGGAATTTTGGTGTGGTTCCGTACTTCCCTGGCTTAACCGCAAATCGCAAGTGTTTCCGTGGTGACCAACGATTTCGGAACTGCGAGACAGTGCAAGTTACGATAGAATAATTGACGCTATTATCCGGATATCGGAACTGGCGTATTGGTGAGGTTGCAACATCATGGAGAAATTCTTGTTTAAAGCGGGTATTTCAAATGACCGAATATATATGGTGCGTTTGTTTGTGAGTCTCTTGAATACTTTGACAAAGAAATCAATAATTCATTGAGCATCCATTCATTAATTAGGAGTCCGATAGAACTAACTTTTGTGTCGTTTATAATTACAAGGCCGTGGCGAGGTGTGAATGATCGATTTTCGATACTTCCTCATTTGAAGCTATATGCTACAAAATCGATTATTAAGGTGTTCGTTGAAAATACCCTGTTTATCGATCCTTTTCCATAGCTTTAAATGGCAGATTAATCGATACCTACATCGCAAAGCACGCCACGCCACTGTTACGAGGAGACACGAGAAGAAATGGACGTTTTTCTGCCAAACGGAACTATGTGCATTAAGATATGAGCCCTGAGACCCATAAGAATATATGCATAACAGGGCTCACGCCATAATACGCTCATTTCAGATTGGCAGAAATAAGTCCAAATGTTGGTCAGATCTTTAAGGGTTGCAATAAACGGAATGAACCAGAATTGGCCTAAATGCATCAGACGTTGACTGATTTATCCCCAAATATTTGTTTTTTACAAGAAACCCGCACATCATTTTGTCTAGCAATTTAGTGAGTGCATTCTTTAATTCGTAAGGAATTGAACAACATGGGATGTAATTTGGCTGTTTCTGGTAAATTCGTCTGAAATTATTCTTCTCGGTATGAGCTTCAGAGTTTTTAACTATTATTTAAGAATAGAACCCAGGATTTGATGTGAGTGAGACTGAGAGCGTCAACGCCCAATATTCAAAACAGAGAAAAAAATCAGGAATTACAAATTTTATTAGTGGTTTAGCGATTGTGTATATTGTGTAAAAAAATTATCAGAAAGTCTAAGAAAAGTTGTAGAATATTGTACAGTAGTCGTAACGATTTCGGAAGATTTATTATAAAACGGGTGTGCGTATTTATTCTTAAGGCAAATTTTGAGACTTACTTACACTGCCATCTAGAGGTTACCATTATTTTATAAATTATAGTATAGTCTAGTCTAGGGTAAAAACTATGTTTTGTAAATATTTGGAGAATCTTGTCCAAACCGCTTTAAAAAACATCTTATGGGACACCACGAAAATAATGTATATTTAAGGAAAGCGGTCAAGAAATTCATTCTCATACCGAGCAGAGAAATGAAGTTCGACCTCCAGCAACTATTTTAACGCTCCGGAGTGCAAATTGCATATCCGATTGTATTGAAGGAATTTTGACTGGGTGCGATGAATATGTATCAGCAGACTAATTAAAAATGATGAGCACAGCGCCGTTCCCCTCGACCTCGAGCAACTATTTTAACTCTCCGGAGATCAAATTGCATACCCATCGAAATTGAAGGAGCCTTGGGTGAATGCCATAAACTCGATGTCACAGCAGACTTTCGGGAGCGGTGATCGTCAAATTGTTGAGCCTATTGATTCACATTCATAGCATTCGCCCAAAGTTCCTTCATTTCGTTGGATATGCAATTTGATCTCCGGAGAGTTAAAATAGTTGCTCAAGGTAGAGGCGCGCAGCTTGTCGTTTTGAATTAGTCTTGAGTAGCAAAGCTACAGTTTAAATAATGGACTTGTTCGCAAAACTCGAGTAAAATTCACGGTTTTGACTCAGGAAATGGATCCTTACAAGGGATTAGAATGCTTTGCCGCTAGACATAATACAGAATATAAAATATATGTACAATATGTTTTGAGTTTCGTAAACTTTAAGGAAGATTCGCACCTAATTGAAAGTTTGTCAAAGTCTAGAAGGAAAGGGATTGTTTAAAGAACGACTATGAATACGTGTTAAGGAAAAACGCCGTATGAACCTTCAGACGTTGCCAAATTTTTTTTGATAAAGTACGAATTTACTGGGAAAAATTATTTATCTTTTTCCTTCAATTTTTCAGACAAGTTTGTTCGCGATTTAATTTAAAATATCTGAAAGTGCCAAGGAAAAATATGCGTAACTTTCCCCGAAAATAAATACTTTATTCGGAGAAATGTGGTGACTCTCGAATGTTCATGCGGCGCTCTTCCTTAGTACGGCAGAATACGACCCAGAGCTTTCAAGGGAAACAGTGGCGATTCTTGAAAGTTAACGACATTGTTCTTTCTCCATTTAAAATCACCTAAATTTGATATTTTTCATGGATTTAAATAGAGGAAAACAGAGTTGCCAACTTGCAAAATCGTTATTAGAAGGAAAGGAGTTGTTTAAGCAATGGCTGAGACTACGGCCCTATGACTACAGTCATATAGCTGGCCGCTCAATTTTTTCCATCGAGGGTCACGTGCTCATAGATTGAGCCCCGGACGAGGCGCCTGGCTTGGAGTGCTCACGCTGTTTGATTGTCGATAATCGTCAACTGGAGTAAGTGTTGATAAAAAGCCGGGGCGCGTTTGTTGAGTCGTCGATGCATTGTCAGAGCGGAGGCGTTCTTCAAGTGTCATCGCATCGACAGTCGCGTAACATTTACATAATCCGACGTTACAGCGGTGGTGCATGCGTGCATTGCACGGCACATCCACGGCCCGTTCTGCCGTGCTAAGGAAGAACGCCGTATGAACATTCGAGAGTTGCCAAATTTCTCAAGATAAAATGTTTATTTTGGAAGAAAGCTATTAATATTTTCCAGAGAAATTTTAAAAAACTTCAGACAAAATTGGGAACGAAACTATCTGAAAAATTGAAAGAAAAATACTTAAAAAGTTCCCCGAAAATTTGTGATTTACCGAAGGAAATTTGGCAACGCCTAAAAGTTCACACGGCGTTCTTCCTTAG